GCACTTTTAGAACTTTATGCCTCGGTAGTGGCAATTCGGGAAATTCCGGTGCCGCGATGCTCTTTTCACTACTTCCCTGGCCTTTCTTACATACTTCTGGCCTCCATACCTCTCATTCTTACCTCCATACACCTTTAGTGAAAGGAAACTTGATCTGGAGCGAAACAAATAGTGTGAGAATTTGTGAAATTTAATAGGAGTAATTGTTCACCGTTTTCAGAGGTAGTACTCTTCATAGGGGCAGCACAGGACAGCGTCCAGATTCGTTTAGAATCCAACATACTCGGTTCCACAGACTACGGCCAGATACATCCCGAGCTTACCCATAACTCTGCACACACGGAATGGCTGATCATCCCAGTTCGAGCAAAGCTTCGTTTCCCTTCCTTCAGTTTACCGTCTCTTTGCTCCAAGTCTTCCCTCACATCCGCATGTCTCCTTCCTGTGCAGCCCCTGTTCTGTCTCTGCGTCCATATTTCAGGCATATGTCTCTCAAGGTGAATGAATCATCAGCCGGAACAGGGAAGGATACGTTTGTCCTCTCCACACGTAGAGCCCCGCTTAGCAGGCGGGAAAATGGACCGTCGGCAAAGACACGGGAAAACACCTCACCAGTGGGCTTTGCAACCTCCACTGAATACTCACCCGATGAGTAGAGAAAACGAATGCTCCGCCGGAACATGAAGAGATACACCGCCATACTCTTGGCCTTTCCCGATAGTGAGGAAACGGGGAAAGATTCTTTAGCTAGCACAGGCAGGGATACTCCGCCATTTCCTGCCTTCAGCGTTGTGGGTCGGCGCTCACTCACCAATCAAGAAGCGATAATGGTTCACCGAGAAGTTGGAGATTCAACGCCATGTTCGTTGTCTACAACTCATCGTAAGCCAGCCCCAGCACGCCTTGTTTAGAAAAACGTGAAAGTATTTCATACCGGAACGTGGAAAGATTCACTGCTTTCACTTTGTTTGCTGTGTTCTGTGGGCAGCGTTGCGATGAATCTCCAGCTAGTACATGGAAGAATACATTGTCGTTTTCCTTGGATCTGCATGCTCCGCAGGCTCATCAGATTGAAAATGAATGGGATCTTGTTGCCTGTCCCATCCGTGCATATCATCAAGGGGGGCGTGGCGGTTCGTGCATTCTGGCACGATAGGGACCGGTGCAGTTGTCCGTGGGTGATCAACTACGAGCGTTCAGAACACAGAACATTATGTGTGATCTGCTCACCTCCTGTGAGAAAACTGAACACCCCCCCCCCCCCCCCTTGCTTGATTGGCTCTGCCACAATCCCCGTACGCAATTTGAGCCTTGATTGACTCTTGCTGCGCGCTCTCTTTCCTTTCTTCCCTCACATAGATATGCACAGGATCACTCCCGCTTTCTCTCGCTTCCTCACACGCCCTCTCTACCTGCGCACTCTCTCACTAACTCTGTTTGTAGTCTCTCTCTCTCTCTCTCTCTCTCTCTCTCTCTCTCTCTCTCTCTCTCTCTCTCATACACACGCACACGAGTGTAGCTGGTCAAAATATGACCTGAGATGGATCATCAAGCAGTTGAAATGCCCATCAAGTCTTGCCTGTAAGCACTCGCATCTGGGCGCATTTATCGTCAGGTTCATGCGTGTTGATCAGGGCAAACTCTCCTGTTTTCGAGCTTACATGGAGCCCGCTCAATCTCTCACCAAACGAGGAGATGACAACGAACCTTCCACTAGATCCTGGAAGAATACACTGCAGCGTTGCTTACCCATCGTGTACTGCTACCCGCTCACTCAATTACCAGGCGAGGGAAATAGGAATGATTTCCAATGCAGAAGTAGTAATTAGTTCTCGGCTCTACTACCTTGAACACCACCATTAATGACCTTCCTCGTGGATACATCAGCGACATTAAACGACACTGCCAATCGAACAATGCCAATGAACGGTGGTAATCAACGATGGCTTTCTCATGTCCGCCACCTTGAACTCTAAGTGGACTGATGCATTACATGTCTTGGTCACGTGCACTTCATATCCAATAGAACTGACCCCCCCCGGTCAGATACTTTTAGGCTTATAGCCCATAAGTAGTTAGTCATTTAGGACGTTGTGCACCTTACTCAATCTTGCGGACAAATAGTGCTTGATTGGTTATGATAGCTGACAACTGCGGATGATTGGGGTCACTGCCTGCCTGCTGCTTGATACCCCGTCTTCCGAACATTCATCTTTCCTCCCTCATTCACTCTCTTGTCACACTGGACCAGAACTGGACCGGGGGGGGGGGCGGGCGGCGACAGGCCATTCATTAATAGGATGAAAACAAAAGCAACCATGAGTTGCTGACATGGCAAGGACGACATCTCCACCAAGCTGTGGCTGTGTTCACCGTCTGCGGGATGGCTATCCCTCTCTTCTCTGAAAATGGCGGGATGGCTATTCCTCTCCTCTCTGAAAATGGGTGCTCTCGTGACCAACGGAAGTGACTGTGTTCATCATCAGCGGGATGACGGCGACTTTGGCGATTTTTCGTGCTCAGAGGAATCCACCAAATACTCTGAAAATTTTACCATTGGTAGATTAGGTCGTGATCTTTCCAGGAAAAATATCAAAAAAATATAAATAAATAATTTTGACCATGAAACAATCGCCGCACAGACTTGTTTTATATTCCAGTTATGCCACGGGGCGTTCGCAGGCCAACGGGAAAAGTACCCCAGCTTCTGCGATTTTTCCCGCTCGAAAGAACGCGTCAAAGGCTCTGACACCTGCTGTAGCAGGTATCGCACCCGCTGGTGGGTGCAGCTCCCGCATGTTCCCTCGTTGGAGGCTTGAGCACGGATGTGGCTGCTACGGGGTTCCCCGTAATACTATAATGACAATAAAAAAGGCCTGAAAGGCCGTCCTGTCCAGATTTGACAGGTAATTGAATTGGTTGGGCTTAAAGAGTTAGCCTTTTATCAAAAAAATAAAAAAATTAATAAAAAATAAAAAAAATTGAGGGCCCGTAGATTTGCTCATGATCTTTCCAGGAAAAATAACAGAAAAATTAGGAAAAATCATTTATACCGTGAACGAACACGCCGATTCGTTCCATATTCGAGTTTTACCACAGCGGCGTTTGTAGGTCGACGGGAAAGCACTCCAACTTCTGCTTTCCACGTCTCTCTCTCCCACTGCACACTCTCTCCCTGCACACTCTCTGACTCTGTGCACTCTCTCTCTCATATCAGAGTTAAACGTACCTGTTTGCCTGCAAATTTAGTAATCTTACTCGGGGAGTGGGAATACTCGAATAGTTGACCTGCGAAAGCTCAGCTGCCTAATCAGTGACACTGGCCGTTCCCGCTAGCAGCAGTAGAAAAATTTGATTGGCTGGCCAGCAGAGTACTTGATTGACTGATCAGTGGAGCTGGCCCCTCCATGTTTGCACACTCATGGCTGCCACAGCCACAGCAGCACCAGCGAGCTACGTTCATGCTAGTCGCTCGCCTTTACGCGCCCAGTTCTCGCTGGTCGCCCTGCGTGCGTCCAAGAACTGAGCAAAAAGGTCAAAACCCTAGGTCCTGTAACGGCCAAGCACAGTCCCACACGTCAACACTTGGGACGTACGCATATATAAACCCCATTCTTGTCACCGCCAGATGGCAGTCCCTCTGGGCCGACAACTGACCGCTGTGCTCGTCGACGCTTGGCACTAGAGCACACGTGTACGGTGCCCCTGGAATCGAGGAGGGTTCTGCCTAATTAGACCAGGCCGAGCGGTACTACCGCTGACGCTGATTCCAGGTCCGGTAGTCCCGCTGGTGGAACTGGTTTCCAGGCCCGGCTGCAGAAATACAGTCTCGGCATGCACCCTCCGGTCTGGATCCTAGGCCTGGCCAACGCGAGTACCGCCACCACTTAGGCCGACTCATTATTTTCTTGCAGTATTATTTATTTTTATTTTATTTGCTGTCGAGGCTAATCGAGCCCTTCGCAAAAAAATTAATAAAATAATAATTATAATAAAATAATAATAATAGAAATAGAAATAGAATCCAGCGGTAGGGACTCAGCAGGATTGACTACGAAAAGGTCATGCTAATTAATTTGATAACCCGCAGCTCAGTGTCTTGCCATTAAGCAGAGCGGACAAGACCGTGGTTCCCTCAAATTGGGCTAGTGGGGTACGTCTTACCCCGCAGGTTAGAACGTCGGACTGGTGCGGCAAATTTGACACACCGAGGAGGGCCAGAACGTCGGGCCCTCTGACACCGTCCTTCTCTCTACGCAACTCTTCGGCACACGGTGTTTCCCCGCTCACGCGGAGGCTATAGCACGACATCTCATTGATCACGTACTGGCTGATCAGAGCGCGTGTGCAACTTTCTTTCTTCTGCCTGTTCGAGAGGACTACAGTAGCGGACCCCGCCCTGTGGACGAGCATCTACCCTGGGCATGGCAGACGAGGTTGCTGACTGGTCAAAGGCGCATGCCTGGAAACTCTCGTTGAATCTCTTGTGCTTTGAGAACCTAGTCCCTCTCTCTCAGATCGTGACTAACTCTCCCTTGCTCTCGTTCTCACACGTGTCCCCTCACCCTTAACTTCCCTCGTGTGAAAGTCAAGTTGAAGTCAACATCCCAAGCGTACATGGGAGATTCGCAAGTACCGGTCTAGCCTCCTCGTGTGAATCATCCTTCTGAGAGATCCTGCGCAGTCACCCTTGAGGCCTCACTGTCAGTTTGCCCGCTGTTGCGAGTTGGCCTCAGGCCCGCTCTCTACAGGTTTTGCGGGTGGGCGGTCCCGCCGCCACTGGTCCGGTCCATGTCAGGACTGGGTTTTTGCGTTCAGGTCGCTCGCCTCATTCTCAGCCTCCGGGTCGCGGTCCAGGTGCCTCTGCTCCCGCTCAACCGTGTCTGTCGAAGTTTCCGCCTCCAGGTAAGAAACGGTCACTTTCACTTCATTTGTGACCCCGTCTCTCCTGCATCTCCTCTTCGCATGGTCCTTGGCTTCCGTGATCGCCATCTGCAGACCTTGGTCTGACCTCATTTCTTCTTCTTTTCCCCCTTCTACGTTCACCTTTAGTTTCGCCTCCTGTCTACCGTGGCTGTAGTCCAGTACAGCCGTCACTGTAGGCCCTTCCCCTGACATCCGCTCCCACCTCCAGAGGAATTGGAGGCGTCTTCGCCTATAGCCGAATAGCCCGCTGCTCCGTACCATGGTGAGTCTCGTTATCGGGCTGCAGATCCCAGAATAGTTGAGGTCGACCACTCAGAGCATGAGCACGCGCACACCAACAATCTCCCGCACTCGCCACGCCGCCCAGCCTCCTCTGCCCAGTTCGCCAGTACTTGGCGTAGCGAGATCGCTCATGCTGCAGGTGACAAAGACCAGTCCCCCTTTCTTTTTATAGGGTCGCTACTTGCCGCGATCCCCATGCCTGAACGGGGAATTCGGGTAGCCTTTAAAATTTGGCTTAGTAGTAGCCTGTGATCCTGAAAATAATAAAATCAAATAAGTCTGAAATAAAATATGGAGGAACGAAACGAGAGACCAAATACCAACGGTCATAGTACACGAGGACTTTCTGCTATCAGTCCTCGTCCCTTCGTCTTGCCATGACATGACTGCGAGCCCAACGCGGTGGTCCCATAACGGGATACTGACGGCCAGCCTCCTTTCTTCAAAACGCATCGCCAAACTACCCCTGACGGGTACCCGTGTCCGATGGTAAGGAGGGGGCCTATGACCTCCCCCCCGGGGGTGATAGGCTTCCTACCAAAGCGGCCGCGGGTTGCCCCTCTTTTGGGGCCCCACTGTGCGGGGCTTAGCTGGACAGTGCAAACACAAGGCGATAAACGAGAGGTCGGGCCAGTCTGGGCCACGAGTTTGCACTTGTTGACTCCTCGCGAAATGATTGATGGAGGAGATCAAAATAAGAGTTGATAATAGAAATAATAATAATAATAGTAATAATAGTAATAATAAATAATAATAATGATAATAACATCAGCAGAAGCAGAAAAATGGCATTTCAAAGTTCTCTTGCGCCGTGACCTCACTAAAACCCATCAGACACCGAGACACTAGGACAGCGATCCAAGTCTAAGCACGGATCCAAAGCTCAGCACTCGACCTTTCTCCTTCCCTTTCTTCTTGGAGTTTCCTTTTTACTGATGGCGACTGTCGCCTTCGTACCTACCCCATAACCCATCTATAGGGGCTCAATCCGCGCCTGAAAAGACCACTCCGGCTTTTGCTATCATGCTCAAGGGTGAGCCCGACGGCTGCTATGACACACTGATCACACCTAGCAGCACGGCTGGGTTCCAAGCCCGCGTGGACCAATTAAAAACCTAGAGACAAACCCATTCGCTTACCCAAGGAAGCGTTGAATGGACATGTCCCACAACAGGGTGCACCCGGCCCACTATGCTACATAGGGGTATGAGTTAGGAGGCTTAGTGCACTATAGGAGTCTCTTGAGCTGGAGATTAGTGCATAGTGGAGGTAAGTGAGCGGATGGACTGGTACGCAGCGGAGGGCCGGGACACAGTGCCCTCCGACACTGGACAATGTTCAAGCTCTCACCCAAGTTATCCACCTTTTTTCGCTTGCGGTTGACATGAAAGGCAACTGGGGTTCAAAGACCGAGGGCTGGTGGCTCCATCCTCAAGGACAACCACCCCCACCTGAGCCGAGTGTAGCATGGGCTCGCAAAGAAGAAGCCATAAGGATACTAGGAGTGAGACTGACTGTTGTGGGTCCTCCTCTAGACCATGGGGACATGCTGGTTAACATGGCTTGGGACCGACTAGCCATCTGGGAGGGCCTGCACACATCACTGGTGGGGCGCGCCTTAGCAATCAATAGTGCGGTCTTGGCGGCCATCTGGTATAAATTGGCAGTATGGCCATTGACCAAACAACAACACGCAAGACTAAAGAAAGCCCTTACGACGTACTTGTGGAAAAACAACGCTAAGACTCAGTGTTGCGTCAACAGAGTGAATTGGGACTTCCTCACACAACCCAGATCCAAAGGGGGTGTGGGAATATTGGAGGCACTTATTTTCAAAGTCCTCGTCTATCTCCTTATTGGAAATGACATTCCCTGGAAGCCGTTTGCCGACTTGCAAATCGCCAACCTTGCTCCACAATATGATACATCTGGAAAGATCCACTTGTTCCAATGGCTGACAAACAACCACTGGACCATCCCCTCGCCCCCAAAACAAGCACACCCTGCATACCCAGCTGACCCGGCACACAAACAAAGCTGGACATAACGGCAGATCCACTTTGGCCTTATGTAATCAGACTTTGGAGACGACGGGGTCCCCAACAAAAACATCCCCCGAACAGGTGGCACGATATATGGAGGCAACCCCTCTTTGGCAACCCACATTTTTTACAAGAATCAGGCCAACCCTTCTAACAATGAATTCCCCTTGGCTCATTTGGGCCAAGAAGGGTGTTTTCACGGTCGGAGACTTGTGGGATGCAGTGAGAGGGGAGTGGGCAACCCCTGGCCAGCTGCAACAGAAAAAACATGTTAAAAATGTAGAGGAAAAGGCAGGCCTGCTAAAAGAGGCTCTTCCAATCGACTGGTGGCTCACCCTGCAGGAAGGACCAAAAGTCCGACGTGATGATTGGGTGGTCAGATATTCGGACGCGCCTGTCCATCTAATCATATTCAAGGTCAAGGAGAACAATCACGGGACCTGTGAACTGGAAGCTTATGAACCCCATCTGCCTGGGGCTAGATTCACAAAACTGTTAAAAAATGACAATTTGGACACATCTTGTGGATGGGGGGGATTGGTGCAGGTGASAGTGGTGGGGGACCAAAAAAATGGCTACTATGAATACGAAACCGCCACACCCGTGGCCAAGCTTCCCTTTGACCTAGCAGAATGGGAATGGCCAGGCTCTATACCGATGCACATATGGAACTACACAGTGAAAGGGGGATACAAAACAGCACGTCAGAGCCAGCCGATCAGCCAAACGGTAGCGAAAAGACGGGCTCGTGACTCACCGCTGGAGCTTAAACTGTCACAATCTTTCGACTGGTCCAGATATGCGAAGATCTTGCCCACAAACCATAGGTCTCTGCAGTGGCAGATCTTGCATCGCTGCCTCCCCACACCCGATTGGCTCGTGTTTAGGACTAACCTGGAACAACAAGGGAAACTGTCCCCCATCTGCACATATTGTGTAAGTACCCACACGCCGGCCAGAGCAACCCTCGAACACTGCTTACTGGCGTGCCCAATGGTCACCCAATTATGGCAATGGTGGGATGCGGCCTTTCACTCCCTCACTGGATATCACTGGACCTAGGCCTCCTGCTACTGCGTGAGAACCGCCATTTAATGGCACATTGGTCCCCGTTCGCGAGCAACCTCTTTGCATACACAAGGCTACAGATCCTTATGTTGGCTTGGAGAGCCAGATGCTCATTTGAAAGAAAGGACCACCAATTTGGCCTGCTGCAGGCGCAAAAAGCGGTCGAAGAGCAAATCAGGACCAAAACCCAGGAAGCATGGAAAAGCATGAAGCGTGAATTCTCTGAGGAGAAAGACCCTCCCATCAAGGAGGTCATTCGAGGCTCCTATATGTGGATCTGGCAGGACCCTAACAAACTGTTTTCGGAACTTGACACCGATCTGGATATTACATGGAAACCATGGAGGAGAACGGAACCCTATTGGCAGAGGAAACCCTTTAGCGACTTCCAGGTCCCATACCTCCAACCTAACTTCATCCTTCTCCCAAGTTCTGACCCGCCTGCCCAACCACCCCCCCTCCCCTCGCTCCCTCCGAAAAACCCGATGCACCAAGCACACTCTCCCCCTCCCCCTTCACAGTTGCCCCATGGCCCTCCCCTGCTCGCCCAACTGCCCGCCTCTGCTCTCCAGACTGCTGGATGATAAGGGACTGAATGACAGCAACAGGCACCAACGACGACAAAGACACCAACACTGAGAGAGGGCACTGCAGCTGTGGACTCCAAGGATCAATAATGGTGGCAAGCACGGGTTCTGCATGGCTTCTGCAGTTGTTCTGAAAGGGTACAAGGTTTAAGGGGCTTAAGGATTTACAGATTTCTAATGGAATAGTTATAGTATCAATGAATAATGGGGGGATGCTGAATACGCTAAAAAAAAAGTGAGGGGAATGCGGGCAGCTCCATGGGACAATAGAGTCAAGGCATTGTCCACCTGTGCAGCAGCAAATGGCAGGTCGGTAACACCTACACACGTCTCCCTGTACTGCATGGGCTTGGGGGAACAGGGAAACAGGGTATTTGGTTGACTCAGAAGGATAGGGTGAGGTCTCAGGGGGTGGTGTAGGTTGTTTTACCAGGGTAGGCTAAATGATTAAACATAGCAATACAGGGGGGCTGCTGAAATAGGGCTGGGGTAATAGATAATGGGTGCTTTTAAAAAGGGTAGGGTGACACTAGCAGCTCCATGGGATATACGTGGCCCGGGATGAGTCGATAATAACCACAGCCCCAGGAATCAACAAACACTAATTTCTGTGCTACTTGATGTATCAATGGGACGCTGGACCAGGTTTCCAGCAGGTGCCGCTCCCCACCAATAGATGGAGCAGCCAGGCAGATAAGCCCTCAATTCTGACGGTTCTCTTACCACTATTGCAAGGGCTTTTCAAAAAAGAAATAAAAAAAATAAAATGGCACTGTATTATCCCATGTTCTAGCTGCAGATTCATTCTCATTTTGTACATTTGGTGGGTAGCTGAGCCAGCCCCAACGTATCCTGCAGTTTGCTGTAGAGGTGGCCCCAATTCGGGAGGATATAGTGACAGCTGGCACCCGTGCCCCTCTTTTTTTTTTTTGTTTTTTTTTTGGGGGGGGGGGGGGGGGGGGAGAGGGCAGGACTCCCTGTGCCGCTTGGCTCTTTTTGTGGTTCTTTTTTCTTTAAGGGAGGGGGGGAAGAGGGGGGGATCTGGACTGGGGGATGGACTCTCTGCGCGTCTCCCCTCTTTTTGCGTGTTGTTTTACAGCCTGCTCCAATTAATTTTGGGGGGCGTTCTGCGCCGCTGCTTCCTGATGTCCTCCCCATGTCGAATACAAGTACATAGAAGCCCAGCGCAAGTGCTGCTTTGTGACCCTGCAACTCTGGAAATGTAGACTGATGTGTTTCTTTTTTTTTTCCCCTCTTGGTCTCCACCA